TCCACGCTACTCGTCTCCAGCTCCGCGAGCGGTTCCAGTCGGACTTTCCTGTCTTGCGTCTGCACTCTGACAGAGGTGGTGAGTTCTCCTCAGACCTCTTGGCCGCCTTCTGTGCGGAGCACGGCATCCGCCAGACTTTCACTCTTCCGGCTTCTCTGCAGCAAAATGGGGTTGCTGAGCGCCGCATTGGCTTAGTCATGGAGGTCGCTCGTACCTCCATGATCCATGCAGCTGCCCCCCATTTTCTGTGGCCGTTTGCGGTCCGGTACGCCGCGCATCAGCTCAACCTTTGGCCCCGTGTATCCTTGGCGGAGACCTCGCCCACACTGCTGTGGACGGGGAAGGTTGGCGACGCGTCGCGTTTCCGGGTCTGGGGTGCTCGTGCCTTTGTTCGTGATACCACCGCGGGCAAGCTCTCCCCTCGCGCCATTCCTTGCGTCTTCCTTGGCTTTGTCCCTGACGCGCCTGGCTGGCAGTTTTATGACCCCGCCTCGCGCCGTGTCTTTGCGTCCCAGGACGTCACCTTTGACGAGTCAGTCCCCTTTTGCCGCCTCTTCCCCTACCGCACTGCTCCTCGCCCTCTCCCGCCGCTCTTTCTTGCCCCAGGTCCTCCCCAGGTAGACCCCCTCCCCGCGCCAGGTCCTGCTCCTTCAGGTGTTTCTCAGGTAGACCCTCCCGTCCCTGCGCTTGTTGAGGTCACTGGTGACTCCGGTTCTGCTAGTGGTGGTGCTGTCCCTAGGGGTGCGGAGCTTGGGGGTGTGCAGCGTGGGGGTGCTGAGTCTGGGGGCGCTGGGCTTGACGGGCCTGAGGGTACGGAGCTTGGAGGTGCTGAGCCTGCGTGTGAGGAGCCTACAGGTCCTACGTCTGGGGGTGTTGCGTCTGGGGGTGCTGCGTCTGGGGGTGCTGCGTCTGGGGGTGTTGCGTCTGCGGGTGCTGCGTCTGCGGGTGCTGAGCTTGCGTGTGTGGAGCCTGGGGGTGCTGAGTTTGGGGGTGAGTCGCCTGAGGGTCTTGAGACTGCTGTTACGCGGTCTTCTTGGAGTAGCCGTCTTCGTCCGCGTGTGCCTCTCACCTCCCAGCAGCTGCACGACTGGTACGGTCGCAGTCAGCGTCGCGCTTCTGCACCTCACGGATCTACTACTGGGGGTTCTTCTGTTGGCGTCACTGAAGCTGGGAGTGGTGTTGGTCCTTTGCCTGCTGGAGGTGCTGGTGTCGCTGGTCTCGGAGGTGCTCGTACTGGGAGTACTGGATCTGCTGGGGCTAACGGTGGCGTGTCTGAGGGTGCTGCTGCTGGTGGCACTGCGGTTGGAGACCCTGGGACTCGAGGTGCCGGTTCTGGGGGTGCTGCACCAGGTGGGGCTAATGCTGAGGGTTCTGGAGCTGCTGGAGGTGCTCAAGCTGCTGAGGGTGCTGCAGCTGCTGAGGGTGCTAGGGCTGCAGGAGGTGCTGGAGCTGCTGAGGGTACTGGGGCTGCTGGAGGAGCTGGAGCTGCTGAGGGTTCTGGAGCTACTGGAGGTGCTGGAGCTGCTGAGGGTGCTGAAGCTGCTGGTGCTGGTGGCACTGCACAGCCGCGCCTGTTCTTTGCTCCGCCGGCTCCGTCGTCACTGCCAGCGCCTCACTCCGTGCTTTGCCAGGTTCTTAGCCTCCTGTTGTCTACTGGTCTTCCGTTACAGCCTGGCTCACCTCTGCCTGCTCCTTCTCCTTACGCCGAGCAGACAGGGGGCCTTGCTGAACGTCGTGAGCCTGCGTCGCGTCCTGTCTCGCCTGTCCGTTCCGGTCGTTCCAGTCGTCGTGTTCCTCGTCAGCGTCAGCCGGCTGTCCCCGGCCCTTTCCTTGTCGTCCGTCGTCCTTCCTCTCCGCCGCCACGTGTTCACCTACCGTCTCCTCCAGCATCCTCTCTACCTGTCGTTGCTGACCCTGAGTCTGACCGTTTTTGTGCTGAGCACCCTACTGCCACGCGTCTACTAGCCTCTGTTGTCGCCGACCCGTCGTTTGAGTCTGCTGCTGCGTCTACCTTAGTCGCTGAGCTTGTCGACTTTGCTTCTCACTATCGTCTAGACTACGCCGCTAGTCTTGTTGCTGAGTCTAAGTCTATCTGACCTCCGTCCGTCATGGGTGAGTGTGCTCTTCGCACGGACGTCCTTGAGGACAGGCAGGAGGACCTTGAGTGTCTTGCAGCCGCTGCGCCTCATCTCGTGTCCATGCTGCTTGCCCCTGAGGGAGACCCGGATGCACAGGACATCCCGAATCCACGATTGTACGCTGAGGCGATCGAGGGTCCCTACTCCTCTCAGTGGTAGACAGCCATGGACGAAGAGATGGCATCCTGGAACTCCACAGGCACCTACGTCGACGAGGTTCCCCCTCCTGGGGCGAACATCGTCAGTGGCATGTGGATTTTCAGGGTGAAGCGGCCGCCAGGTTCTCCGCCTGTCTTCAAGGCTCGTTATGTTGCTCGAGGCTTCAGTCAGCGAGAGGGAGTTGACTTCTTCCAGACCTTCTCCCCCACCCCGAAGATGACTACTCTTCGGGTGCTACTGCACGTTGCCGCTCAGCGTGACTACGAGCTTCACTCTCTTGACTTCAGCACACCTTTCTTGCAGGGCAGCCTGCACGAGGAGATCTGGCTGCGCCGTCCACCTGGCTTCACTGGGTCGTTCCCTCCTGGTACCCAGTGGAGCCTCCGACGGCCAGTCTACGGCCTCCGCCAGGCGCCACGTGAGTGGCACGACACACTGAGGACGACTCTTGCGGCTCTTGGGTTTGCCCCGTGGTCTGCAGACCCGTCGCTGTTTCTGCGCACCGACACTTCGCTGCTGTCGTTCTACATCCTCGTGTACGTTGACGACTTGGTCTTTGTCACTGCTGACACTGAGGCGCTAGCCCTGGTGAAGTCGGAGCTGCAGAAGAGACACACGTGCACAGACCTGGGTGAGCTGCGCAGCTACCTTGGCCTGCAGATCACCCGGGACAGAGCACGCCGCACCATCACACTGACTCAGTCACACATGGTGCAGCAGGTCCTTCAGCGCTTCGACTTCACTTGGTCCTCAGCACAGGCCACTCCTCTGGCTACAGGTCACTCGCTCTCAACTCCACCTTCGGACGAGTCCGTAGAGCCGAGTGGTCCTTACCCAGAGCTAGTGGGCTGCCTCATGTACCTGATGACCTGCACTCGTCCTAACCTTGCGTACCCTCTTGGCCTTTTGGCTCGCTACGTGGCTCCTGGTCGGCACCGAAAGGTGCACGTGGATGCTGCTAAGAGGGTACTACGCTACTTGTGCAGTACATCGGGCATGGGGCTCGTGCTTGGAGGACGGGGTGACGTTGTCCTCACTGGTCACTCGGACGCCTCTTGGGTTGACGACCAGGCTACGCAGCGGTCGTCACAGGGCTACACCTTGAGCCTTGGTTCTGGTTCAGTTTCCTGGCGTTCTACACATTCGTCTTCAGTTCTCGGCTCCAGCTGTGAGGCCGAGATCTACGCCACAGCCATGGCTGCACAGGAGCTACGCTGGCTCACCAACCTGCTGACCGACTTGGGAGAGCGGCCTCGTTCTCCTCCAGTTCTGTACGTCGACAACAAGGCCGCCATTGCCTTGTGTCAGGAGCACAGACTGGAGCACAGAACGAAGCACATCGCTCTGCGTTACTTCCTTGCTCGAGAGCTGCAGCAGCGTGGCCAGCTTCGTCTTGCTTACGTGGCCACTCGGGCCAACACTGCTGATATATTCACCAAGGCGCTTCCGCTTGGTGATCATTAGCGTTTCTGCACCTTGTTAGGCCTAGTGCCCACACTTCCTCACTTGTTGTAGGCTTTGTTTGTACTGTGATCTATATATATACCTGCATGCTTGCTCTGGTAGGTAGAGATCACTGTTCTGTTGTTGTTACGTATATATCTCTGCATGTGAACTTGCCTTGTGGCCTTTTGCTTGTGCTCAGACTGCGTGGTGACGTTGTGACCCACCCTGAGCTGTGTTTTGTTTCTTCGCTTGACTGGTCTTGTGACCGTTGCTTGCTCTGGCTATCCCCCATTTCGCCTATGGGGGTGTGTCAAATTATATATATACTTGTTTAGATTATCTAGACTGTATGGGGGTTAGCACTAAGGGGTACAGAAACTTTCTCGATACCCTAGTCTTGTACCCACCCCTTCACCTAATTCCATCATCCTTGCCTTAGTTCTTAACACTTGTAAAGCTTGTCCTTGAAAAATCACAAGTCTAGTTGTGTAGGAGCTTATTAGGAGAGCCAAAATGACTTAGAGAAATCTCATTTCCAAATTGGTAAGTTGGAGTTGGGAAGTGGGAATGAGCTTGAGAGCCCCAACCCCTTCCTCAATACCCCTTGGGGCTCTTCCCAACCATGGCTTCCATGGTTGGGGAGCTAATAGGCTTGGAGCCTAGGTGGCACTTTAGTTTGGTTGGGGAAAACCCAACTTAGCACAATTGTATGGTTGTTTTAAACTTTGTGTGGATTGTAACAACAACTTTCAACTTCCCATTGGTTGGAAATCCAACCTTGCACATTCATTTGGTTGGGTTGGAAAACTTCCCAATCTTCATTTTTGTTGGGTTGGAAAGTCGCAAGCCTCAAAGTTGAGGTTTGGAATACCAAGCCAACCTTTCTCTCCCAATTCAACCTTCAACTCCCGTAGTCCGATTTGTGTCGAGACATTTCTCGACCTAGACTAGGAAGAAGTTAGGTGGTGCGTTAGGTGGTGCGTTACAGTTGCAGCTGCTTCGGCCAAAAAAAACATATCTCCTTCCATCGCAGCGTATCATTCTCGCTTTTCTCGCTTGAAGTTTTGCTGAGAAAGAACAGTAACGAGGTTTTCCAACAACGCGTATGCAAATTTTGAAAATTCAAAACAGCATGGCTGGGGGGCACATTTGGCTCTGCACATTTCTTGGCTCGTTCCCCCTCATCTCATTCAATTATCCCCTATCTACCTTAGCTCTAGAACATTCTAAGCCGTGACAGACGCCGCGTAGCTCGCAATGGCGGCGAGGCAATTATCTGCGGCGGGTGGTGCGAAGAAGCGGGCGGGCGGGGCTGGCACGGATGCGCAGTGCAAGCGGCTGAAGCAGCTATCGCTCTTCGGAATGCTGGCAGGCAAGAAGCGCGCCGCCGCCGAGCTGACGTCGGACACGGCCGTTGAGCTCACTGGTGGCCCGTCGGCCGCCACGAAAAGCACTGCGACTCCTGCAGCGACCCACCGCGCCCTCAACGGCTCTCCCACTCCCGACGCAGGCAATCAAACCAATTTCGTTGCAGCAAGGGAGGCTGTGACGAGACAAGGCGAATGCGACGTGGGCGCGGGGAATGGGATCGAAAAAATGTTTCCCGCGTATTGGACCATCGCAGGCGCGTGCAGAGGCGCGTCCGCGGAGCGATGGGGCGACCGCAAGCGGCGCAACAGGAGGCTGAGGCAGTTGGGGGACGCGCAGCCTCACGCGGAGGAAGTGGGCGGCAGCGGCGGTGGGGAGAGCAGCAGCAGTTCGGATGGGCGGTGTGACTCACAAGGGGGGGAGATGGAGGAGACTTGCCGGAGAGGCGAGGCCGTACGTGTTAGTGGTGCGGCGCAGCGAGGAGACGCTGACGTGGGTGATGGCGCCACGGATTGCGGGGGGCCGACGCAAGAGGGAGAAGAAGGGCAGAGGCAGGGCATGCTGCAGCGGCGTGGTGTGTGCTCGCACGCTCACGAGCCCGCCATGCCGCACGCGTCGCCCGCTGCTGCTGTGCCGTCCAGTGTAGCGCCCACGGCCGTCGCGCTCAGCGTCGGGGAGCAGGGGTGCGGGAACGCATTGAAGGAAATTTCTGGCGGAGGTGCGCGTGAGGGAAGCGCGCGCGGGGAAACCGGGGACGCGCACAGAGAGGACCGCCAATGCGCGGGAGGAGGCGAGGGCATTGGGAGTGGTGGTGGAGGGCGGAATGCAGAGGCGAGGGAGGCAGTGGGCGGAGCGAGAGATGGACGGTCAAACGACGCAGCTGGCGGAGAGCGATCTGCTGGCTGTGGCGGGGATGCGGGCGGTGGTGCGCGTGCTGCTGTGCAGGGCGGAAAAGCAGCGCGCGCACATGGCGCGGTGGGGAGTGACCCAGCGCCATGTGCTGTGCGTGGTGATATGACGGCACGCGCGCACGAGGAGGCGACGACTCGCGAGGTGGTGCATGAAGCGACGGATGAGAGGGCAGGACGCGCACAGGCGAGCGTGGATGAGCGAAGAGCGGAGCAGGAGCACGCGGAGGAAGAGGAGGAGGAGGAGGAGGAGGAGGAAGAGGAGGATGATGAGGAGGAGGAGGTTGAGGGAGGCGAGGAGAGCAGCGAGGCAGGTGCAGCGGAGGGACCACTGACGGAGTACGAGAAGCGGCGGCTGGCGAACATACGGCGCAACCAGCAGCTCATCCTGGCCCTCGGCATCGAACCTCTCGTCCCGCGCTGCCCGCCGCCACCCGCGCCCACGGGCCAGCCTGGCAGCTGCAGTGGCGACGGCGGCGGGCGCAGCAAGAAGCGGCCGGGCAGGGCGGGTGGCGGCGTGGACGTGGTCGGGTACACGGGGGTCCGGCGCAGCTCGCGGCTGAGGGGGAAGCCGCAGGGGGAGGGCGGAGAGGGACGCGGAGGCGATGGGGGGAAGCAGGCAGAGGGCGGGGAGGGACTGGGAGAGGGCGGACATTGGGAGGGTCATGAGGAGGACTGCAGTGTGGAGGATGACGTGGCGTATGGTGACTCGTCCGTGGTGAAGTACCTGTGCCGTGTGCTCGGGGGTGCAGGGGCGCAGGAGGAGCGCGAGGGACAAGGGTTGCGCGCAGGCGAAGGAGGTGGCAGCGGAGGGGAGAGTGGAACCTGCGTGCAGGCAGCAGTGAGCGCGGCAGGAGGGGAAGGAGAGAATGGGGTGAGTGGCGAGGTTGGTCCTGTGAAGGGAGCCCTCACATCACCACCCCATGGATGCAACGCAACAGAAGCCATGCCTGCATCGGAGTCCATAGCGCTGGGGTTGGTGCAGGGCGCGCACATGCAGGACGGGCGGCTGAGCAGAATCTACAGCGTGCACGTCCTGCCCATGGCCGCACGCGCACCCGCTGCCCAGTGCGTGCAGGGGCGTGAGAGCGGGAGCAGCGGTGGCAGTGGGTGCTACCTGCTGGCAGCAGGGGGGCATCAGGGCCGCATTGCAGTGTTCGGTGCGACAGGCACGCGGGGAGGGGATGCAGGGGACGTGGGAGCGGGAGGTGCCAAGGGAAGAGTGTGGTGGTCGATGGAGGGAGGGGTAGAGGAGGGGGAGGAGGGAGGGGGTGACGAGGTGGCACCACTGCTGTCATGGAAGGGCGGGAACGGATGGATCTCGCATGTTCAGTTCCTCTCACAGCAACAACAGGTGCCTCGTCACCGCACCCTCCTCTTGTACTCCCTGTCATCATTGTAACCGCCATACCACTGCTCTCTCATGTCTTCCCCTGCCAGTGCCCTCACTCACCCTGCTGGCTTGTGCACTGCTCTCCTTTCTTCTCTCCTGTTCCTTGTGCATTCCTCCAGGCGGGTGCCACGCTACTGCTGTCCAGCAGCAACGACAGCACCATCACTCTCTGGGACATCAACCGCCACCACTGCACCCCTTCTGCCTCCTCCACTCGCCGCCGCCGCGTGCAGGCCTCAGGCTCGCCCAATGACACGGTGCCACGTGTGGTGTGTGAGCTGGCGGGCGTGCACGGGCAGGGCATATTTGGGATGCACGAGAGGGGGCTGGTCGTGGCAGCGGCGTCCAAGGACAAGACCGTGTCCCTGTGCCGCGTGGGGCCCTCTGCCCTCTCCCTCCTCCGCCTGCTCACGCACCATGACGTGCCTGTGCGCGCCGTGCACCTCCGGTACACCCTCACGCCACCCGGCCTACATTGCGCTCTTTGCCCTGCGTTGCATCCCCGTCCGTCTTGCAAAACACCATGTTGCACTGCCCTCCAACTTTCTTGCACCGGTTGCATTCAATTCTCTCCCGCTCGTCCCTCCTCCCCCGTCTCGCTCCTTCTGTCCCCTCTCGCCCCTCACTCTCTCCCTCAACGGCTCCTATTCTTCCCTTTCCCCCCGGCTCGTGCATGTGACAACAGTGACGGGGATGTGTTGGTGGATGGAGCAGCAGACGGCAGCATAGCGGTGGTGGACACGAGGGCAGCAGCACCCGTGGCAGTGGCCCTGCACCACTGCCACTCCTCCCAGGTCAACACCGTGCACTGGCAGCCCTGCACTCCCCTCGCCTCGCCCGCCACCTGCACCACTGACGTTGATAACCCCACCAGCGCGAGCAGCAGCAGTGGCAGCAATGTGGTGCTGTCGTCCAGCTTCGACCATGCTCTGCTCGTGCACGACATTCGCTCGCCCGCCACTCCTCTCTTCACCCTCTCAGGCCACCACACACACTCCGCCTCGCTATCAGCGCCCCCTTCCAGCCAAATACTCCGCCCTGCATTTGTGGATGGAGGCAGGTTTGTCGTGGTGCCGGTGCCTCTGGGCAGCACCCGTGGCAGCAGCAGTGGAGGGAGTCGTGTGGCGCTCTACTCCATGGAGTCAGGCAAGCTCGTCAGCTGCGGTCGCACGCATGTGGATGCCACTCTAGCATTTGCGTTGGATGGACTGGGCGCGCCAAGTGGAAGGGGTGATGTGCTGCAGGATGTGTGGCTAGCAGGGAAGTCCGTTGCTCAGTTTAGGCCCTTGTGGAGGTAGTCTGTGATTTCACTTGCTTTATAGGGCCGTGTATTCTGTATTTTTTTTTGTTAGTGTCGAGGCGCCTTATCTAGTGCATGCCCATTCGATTATCCCTCGCGCACTCCCAGTTCATCCGATTCAATTCACTGCTGAGATGCGACCGCTGACCAACATACCACGCACTTCCCCCTGCGCGTTCACTCGCCCCTTTTCATAGCAAAACGCGCCTCGCGAGTTCCTAGCACGAAGGCAGCCAGGAGAAAACACGGCAGTACTTCGCTACATTGCCCCCATGCGCGCGTCCTCTGTTTTCTCCGTCCGCGCCGCCAGCACCCCTTACAATGAGCGCCGCGCGCCCGCGGCTTGTTGCCACTGCGCTGTCGCTTGTCGTCGCGCTCTCGCTGCTGCCCCTCTGCGCATGCCTCGCTGATGCCACCCCCGCGGAGGTCGATGGGCGGCGGTCGTGTGCCATCGCCCCTGAATGCACGTCGCCCGCCGCTCATGGGGGCGGGATCGCGCCGCCTGAGGACATTGATGCGCCGACTCAGCCCCGCCCCGCGATCTCGTCCCCCCCCTCCCCTCCTCCGCCTATTACCTCCGCTTCCCACGGCACCGCCTTTCCTCCGTCTGCGCGCGCGTCCGCCTCCCCCTGTCCCGCCCATCCCCTGCTCGGCCCGTCCGCCTCTCTCTACGACGTTTTGGCGCTCCCGCGCACCGCGTCATGGGCGGACGTCCAATCCGCGCACGACACGTGTCTTGCGAGCTGGTGGCGCGCTTCACCAGCAGAGGCGGCGCAAGTCAGTCGGCAGCGCGCCGTGCAGGTGAGGGGCGGCAAGCGCGGCGCGTGGTTCCTTCAGCACGCGGCGCGGCGCTGCTTTGGGCAGATCCGTGCCTGCATGCCGCGCACTGCGCTCTCGCGTGCGTGCCTTTCTCTCCGCCCCCTGTCCCTGCCACTGCCCTTCGTTCTGCACTCACTCTTTTTCCCCCCTGCCTCGCACCACCCCGAGCTCTTGTCCTCCCGCATTCTCCCCCCCAATACCACCCACCGATGCAGGTGGAGCAAGCATACCGGGTGCTGTCCAGTACCAGGCTGCGCCGCCTGTACGACCTGCTGGGGGAGGATGACGTGGCGCATGCTGCCTATGATGTGGCCGTCACGAGCGGCGGTGGCGGTGGTGGGCGGGCAGGAGAGACACAGGCAGATGCTGCCATGGGAGTGGAAATGGGCACGGACTGGGAGTGCTGCGAGTGGCTGGCTGCTCACAGCAACCACAGTGGGAGCAGCAATGAGCGCAGCAGGCGCAGTGGCAGCGACAGAATGGCAGAGCAGGAACAGAGCATGGCATCACACTGTGCCAGTCACCTCCACCACCACTCGCTGCCTGCCGTCTGCTGCTCCTCCTCCGCTGCACACCGCCTGCCTCACTCGCTTCCCCTCGCCACCGCCTGTGCCGCTCGCATCTTCGCCTCCCTGCTGCCGCCCTCCCCTCACACGCTTCACCTCCCCCCATCGCCTCCGCCCTTGCCCGACACACACGCGTGGCTGCAGCAATCAACGCCCATCACAGCGGGCAACATAGCAGAGGCAGTGTTCGGCAGCCCACACCCCTCGCTGCTGCTGCTGCTCTCCCTCTCCTCCCCGCGCTCCCTTGCACTGCTGCCCGCATGGTCTGCCCTTGGCGCGCAGCTCAAGGGCATTGCGCGCCTGGGCCACGTGGACGCAGGGCTTGACACACACGTTGCCCTGCGCCTCGCCCCGCGCACCTGTCTGCCCGCCCACACGCGCTTCCCTGCCGGGCTGCCTGTCGTGCTGGCCCGCCCCACGGGGTGCCGCCACGTGGACTGCCTGCTGCGCCTCCCCACGCGCTCGCCCCGTGCCTCGTGGCTGCGACGGCTCACACGGAAGGGACACGAGGATGAGGAGGAGGACGGGGAGGAGGGAGACGAGAGAGGGGCGGAGTGGGGAGCCAAGTTGTTATCAGGCCATGCGTGGGGCATGAAAGGGAAGGCGGATGGTGGCGATGAGGGGGTCAGGGGGGACAGGGCGGGTGCATGGCCGGCAGACCCCATGACTCGCCTGCGTGAGTTCCTGGTGGCAGCGGGGGAGGTGCTGGGGGATGGGGGAGCACCAGCACACAGCGAAAGTGGTGCTGAGCGCAGTCCTGACGCGCCATCCGCTGCATCCCCTCCCGCCCCATCGCCCTCCGACCCCTCACCACCATCACACACCATAGACCCCTCACACCCGAGCCATATGCACAATTCAAACTCCCTGTTCTCCCTCCTCCACCTCGCCCGCTCGTCCCCCTACCACCATCTGAGAGCCCCCCCTCCACCGCTGCCCTCCCTGCGTCAGCTACGTCGCTTCGCCTTCCTCTCCCTCCTGCGCGTGCCACCCATCCCTGTGGTGCCGCTACAGCACCTGCCCATGCGCTTCTTCCGCACAGCCCCCGACCGCACCGTGCGCTTCGTGCTGCTGCTGCCGCGCACGCACCGCCATGCATCGCTGGAGGCGCGTTACTGGGCGGGCAGGAGCGCAGGGCGCGTGGCATGGGTAGCAGTGCCGTGGGAAGAGAGTGATGCGGCGGCGTGGCAGCGGTGGTGGCGTGTGCAGCAGCCGCCCGCCCTGGGCATCTACCGTGACCCGGGTGTGGTGCCGCTGGTGCTGCCCGGCCCACTCAACTCCACCGTGCTACGCCATGCCCTGCTCCACCACTCCTCCTTCCTCCTCCCCCGCCTCTCCGCCTCCTCCGCTGCCCGCCTCGCCTGCGACCCCTCCGCCCGAGAACTCCCCCCGCCCTACTTCCTCTCTCCGCTGCTCTCCCCTCCACCTCACAGGCGGACGGGAAAGCGCGGAGGTGGCATTGGGGAGGCTGGGCGTGGTGGCAGCACGTGGAGGGATTATGATGCGGGGCAAGGTGAAATGGGAGGGGAGGGAGGGGAGGAGGGAAGGAGGAGGTGGGTGAGGGCGAGGGAGAGGGAGGTGCGCATGAGGACGAGGTACTGTGTGGTGGTGGTGGGCACTCCATCCCCTGCCCTGCATAAAGCCCGAACTGCTTTCCTGGAGATACAGCACGCCATAGCCGCTGCAGCTGCTGCTGTCACTGCTGATGATGGTGATGAGTGTGGTGAGGATGGTGCTGCTGCTTGTCATGCGGATGGTGGCGTTGATGGTACAAGAGATGGCTCAGATGCTGTGCACATGGCTGAAGCTGGCAGTGCCATGGGTGCTTTTGGCGCATCTTCTTCTGCCCACTGCGCTGCAGATGGCACCACTGCATTGACATGTGCTGCTGCGACAGGTGGTGGTCGTGGTGTTGGTGCAGACACGGAAGCAGGCAAACAACAGGAGCAGCAACAGCAGCAGCAGGGGCAGGGGCAGGGGGGGCACGGCATGCAGGGGAGTGTGCCAGCAGCGGTGGTGGCAGCAGCGAGGGAGGGGCGGGTGGCAATGGCATGGGTGGACGGCACGGTGCAGGTGCGATGGTGCGCGTACATGCTGGGCTGGCAGGGCGCCCTCTGGTGCCAGCGCTCCGGCCGTGCCACTGGTGTTGGCGCCTTCATGACCCGCCTGCGCTGGGGCGGGGGCAGGGGCAGGGGAGCGAGAGGAGAGGGTGGCGCGGAGGGGAGGGGGGATGGGCGAGACGAGGCCGTGATAGGTGATGGGGCATGGGATGGTATCGGTTTGGACACGGAGGGTGAGGAGTATGGCGATGGGGACGGGGATGACTGGGATGACGAGGAGAGTGACGGTGAGGCAGGGAGTGAGCAGCAGGGAGGCAGCAGGCCATCATTGCTGGTGTCCGTGTACGGGGGGCAGGTGAATGGCAGCAACGCCACGGGTGTGATGCACTGGATCAACCACTGCGTGCACACTGGGGACTCCTCCATACCACCCCCCTCCCCCCACCACTGGGCCGCCTCCCACTCTTCCTCCTCTGCAGAGGGCGATAGTCACGATGCACATGGTGGTAGCACCAACCATGCAGGCAGTAGCACCCCTGGCAGCAGCAGTGGGAGCAGCAGCAGCAGCAGGCAGGACAGCAGGGTAGCAAGGGGGGATGTGGGTAAGAGCCTGTCGGTGATATGGGGCCCAACCCACGAGGCACCAGCGCTGGTCGACGAGGACACGGCCACCACCTTCCAGTCCCTGCACCACCATCTCCGCTCCTCGCTCTCCTCCCTGCTCTCCTCCCTGCTCTCCTCCTGCTCCACCGCACTCCACCGTTGCATCTGCACCTACCTCCTAGGCCCCTTGCTGCTCCTGCTGCCCGAGCACTGGCTGCATGCGGCAGCTGTGGCTGCAGAATGGACGGGGGAGGTGGTCGCTGCTGCTGCTGCGGCTGCGATGGCGGGTGCGGCAGGTGTGGCAGAGGGCGATGGAGGGTTCCTGCGAACGCTCGCTCTGGCTGTTGCTGCCAGGTGCGTGCTCAAGATGGTGCTGGCTCGCAGGGGCGGCGGGGACGGTGGTGGTGGCTAGAGGGGGAGGGCAGGAGGAAGAGTGAAGGGGCATGGCTCGAGAGAGTGCAGTGGGGCAAGACGCCCAGAAGCAAGTACAGTGGGAGAAGACATACCGGGGTGTGGACATGGGGGAAGGAATGAGGGGAGGGAGGAGGGACAGGTGAGAAACGCGTTGATAAGCAGGTGGCGGTGTTGGTTGACGTGGGTCGAGGGGTTAGCGTGGGTGCATGTAGCCCTTGGTGCACTGTTGTACATTGCTGTAAGGAATCCGTGTTGTGCATTGCACAAAAGATTGCATTTTTCATTTCACAGGCCATGACAAGATGAAAGCAGCATCGCATCGCATGCCCCAACGGCACAAGCCACACCATCCATAGAGCTATTTTTGCGAACACTGCATTCAATCTAAGAGACGTTTTCGACAGATGTGGCAATGCCGTTGGTGGTTCTGGCAATAACGAGGACATCCTTGGTGCCCAGGGTTCGTTTCCCAGACGTGCTGTCAGAAGGAGTGAGGGCAGTCAACGAGTGAGCATGGGAGGAGTGCAGCACATGGCACTTGAACAGCCGCACTGCCAGCAGGCTGTCTCCCATCACATGCATCTCCGCCCTGCCCTGCACACACAGCCATGCACCACCATACATGCACGTGGGTGTCAGTGCACGCTGCTGCTGGGACAGGTGAGTTGAACTGCAGAACGGTGATTGGGTGGGTTGGGGGGTTGATTGGAGGCAAGGAGGTGAGTGAGGGCATGTGGTGGTGGCAGTGGGTGGCATGGTTACCTCTTGTGGCACGTGGAAGGAGGAGGAGAGCGCGTCACACAGGTCCAGAGTGAGATGCTGCAGCGCTGGCAGCTGCCATTGGGCCAGGGGGACAGAGCGGGGAGAGAGGGCGGGATGAGATGGCGGGGTGCTGAGATGAGGGGAGTGCAGAGACGAAGTGGATGTGCAGTGCAGGCAAGGCTGGAACTGCGCCATGGTGCTGTGATCCTTACACCCGTCTGCCTTACGCCCATGTGCCTTACCCTGCTAGACGCCTGCTGAATGAAGTCTGGGGGCGCTTGCTTGCCCTGCACAGAAGCCGGCAGACAGAAGCGGCACACGGCACGAGAGTGGTGACAGGGGATATGTTGGGGTGGGGAGAAAGAGAGGCACGAGGGATGCAGGCAGGGCAGAGAGAAGGGGGGGGTAGAGAGGATAGAAGGATGGAGGGGGGCGAGCGAGACAAATAGATGGAGTGAGAATTCGCAACAAGGAACAGCGGCATGCAGAAGAGGGCAGCAGGGTGAGGCAGAGCCCCCCGGAGGCGCATACAGTGTGGCGCAGGTGCAGCGAGGAGAGGGCGCTGAGGGCGAACAGGGATGCTGGCGCATGGACGTTGAAGAGGTTGGGGCACTCCTGACGAGGGGAGATAGGGACAGAAGCGGGGAAGCGGGAGGGGGGATGCAGAATGAGAGGGATGGAGAACGCAGTGGAACGTGGCGGGGATGGTGGGGGAGAGAGGTGACTAGCAGGAGAGACGAGTTGAGTAGTGGTGGTGGGTGGATGGTGTGTGGCCGACCAACACAAGCGAAGGAAACGGTGTGAATGCAGTGCGTGGCGGCTCCCCTGCACACGGTGTGTGTGGTGTAGGCCTTAAGATGAGCCGGGCTTACAGTGAGCGTGAGTGAGGTGAGTGCTGGAAAGGAGTTGGCGAGTATGAGAGGCGCGTCTGATGGGGACAGGGCGAGGGAGAGGAAGGAAAGAGGAGGTGAGGGTAATGAGGATACAAAGGGAGACGAGAGAAAGCTTGCAGTGAGACAGGGACGAAACTTGAAACAAGGATGAAGCGGATAGGGGTGCACCAGGGGCACACACCTTGGGAGAGGAAGGGGCAGGAGGAGAGAGAAAGGGAGCGCAGAAGCGGAGCAGCGGAGGCAAGGGCAGTAAAGTGAAGAGTGGAGAGCCAGGCAAAGCCGCCCCCCAGGGAGAGAGATGTGAGGCGTGGCAAGGTGGCGGAATGGGCGAGCAGTGAGGGGCCACGGCTGTGGGCATGGGGATGAGCGTGGCCATGGTGCACGCATGCAGCTACTGATGCTTGTGCTGTGGGGAGCGGTGGAGAGAAGAGCGCGGGGGAGAAGGGGCCCCCGCAGCGCAGCAGGGAGAGGTTGCGGAGTGGGCAGGCGGCGAGGAGAGGCAGAAGACCGTCATCTGACACTGGCTGGCATGGCATGGGGTGGGGTGGCGTGAAGAGGGGACGGGAGTTGGGGGCAATGGGAGGAGAGAAAACGGCATTCAAAGAGATGACAACAGAGGACGAAATACTAAGAGCATGGCATGTGGGTGAGAATGTGAACAGCTAGGAACTTGCTATTGGCAGCACAGTGGAGAGGATGGGAGTAGCGTGTGACGTGCGTGCAATGCAGACACACACACGGACAGAGACACGTGAGAATACGTCACCTGGAAGGTGAGTGAGAGTGCAGTGAGGCGAGGGCAGCACGCGGCAATGGCGCGCAGTGAGGCATCGGAGATTGTGGCGCCCAGCCCCAGGGCGAGGGCGCGCAGGCTGTGCGATAGGGGGAAGAGCCGTGGCAGTGGTGGTGGTAAAGATGGGCACACAGAGGAGGGACTTGTGGGCGGGTTGGGGGGGTGCGGGGGGATGGAGAGGGAGAGGGGAAGCGCCCAGGAGGCGTGGAGAGTGGTGAGGTGCGGGGGGATGGTTATGGTGGTGATGGGCGGAGAGGAAGGGGCGGAGGAGGAGGGGGGCCGTGGAGGGGCGGGCTTGCCACATCCGGAGATGAGGAGGTGACGCAGGCATGGGGCTGATGCACACAGGGCGCTTAGGGCACCCGGTGACAGCTGCCACGGCGCAGAGACGACGGGGAGGGGTGGTATGGGGGTGGTGGGGGACGGGAGAAGTTGGGAAGTGGTGAGGATGTGACGTTGGATGCTGAAGGGGAAGGAGAGTGGAGTGGAGAAGCAGGAGGGTGAGGAAGCGCAACGACAAAGTAGCAGAGTGCTGAGATGACATGCCACCAGCATGATGATGTGGTGTAGTGAGGGCACGGGCATGGCATGTGGGACTGACTGACAGGGGCATCGGAGACATTCAGATGAGTCAAGTGGGGCAGCGCCGCAGTGCCATCGCTGCTGCTGCTGCTGCTGCTGCCTGCAGTGGTGCAGGACACGGCCTGTGTGGCGAGGGTGTGAGCGCCGTGCAGCCACGACATCACGAGTGCATCATCCACGGCACCAGAGCATCCCTCGCCCCTGCCCGCCCCTCCCTGCGCCTCCCTGCCCCTCCCCTTGCCCTTAGGTGCTGCTGGTTCCCCCATGCGGCCGGGAGCAAGGGTGTGCGCGAGGGAGAGGTGCGTGAGGGAGGGGCTGGCCGCTGTGAGCAGGTGTAGGAGCGGACGGGCGTGCTGCACGGCTGCTTGGGGCCGGGATGGGGTATGCCACAGGGATGCAAGGAGGGTAAGGATGCGAAGGGAGAGGGATGGGAGACGGGCAAAGGACAGGGATGAGGAGAGGGAAAACCCAAGAAGAAGTTTGGTTGTGGGGTGAAACAAGGGGAGGGGACAAAGACAAGGAGCAGAAACGAGAAAGTGAGTGACTCACCAGGGCATCCATCAAGCTCCAGCTTCCTGAGCCCACCGTAGGTGCCACTCACCCCACAGTCCTTCCTTCGCCCTTCACCCACGCCCTCCTCATCTCCCTCCTCATGTCCCTCACTCGCTCCATCACCTTCTTCCTCATCTTCTTCCTCCTCCTCCTCGTCATCCTCACTCTCATCCTCGTCCACCTCCTTCACTTTTTCCTCCTCTTCTTCCTCTTCTGCCTCGCCACAATCACCATCATCCGAGCCCTCCCTTGCCCCGCCAGCAGCCGTGAGAGCACGGGAGAGGGCGAGCAGGGAGCGCACGCCAAGGTGAGTGTGGGATGCGCACAGGTGGGACAGCTGCAGGCGGCACCGGGGGAGTTCACCAATACAACGACCTGAGTGCCGGGGGGACGGGCGCTTGGAGCAATGAGAACGGGCGCTCGAATGGCCACCCTTTCGCTGCTGCCGTGCGGATGTCACAGTGGGAGCAGTGCGCGAGGCGGGGGCGGGAGGGGGGCGCGTGTAGGAGGAGATGAGGGCGGCGAGGGCACGGTCGGAGAGCGAGGTGCACCCCGTGATGTCCACGTGGGTGAGGGCGGGGCAGGCGAGTACGACGTCCATCAGCTGCCCGTCTGCACGTGGGCGCACGCACGGACACATATGCACGCACGGGGGAGAGGATGGGGGAGAAGGAGAAGCGGTGCTGTGCATGGAGCGCAATGCAATGCACCTAGCAGCAGCGCTCGTCACAATACACCCGCTGGCCTTTGGAGTGCATGCAGGCAAGGCGAGGCAGCAGGAGTACCTGAGAGGTGTTGCTGCCAGCGCAGCGAGAGCGAGGTGACATGGTTGAGCCGCCACGGGTTGTACAGGCGGTGCAGCGGCACCAGCATGCTCGCTGTCTCCCCCACGCCTTCCTCTCCCTTGCCGTCCTCCGCATCCCCTTCCCCTTCCTGTTCTTCTTCTTCCTCCTCCTGCTCCTCTCCTCCTCCTCCATCCACCCGCCTGTCACCTGCCTGGTGTGCTGCTCGTCTACCCTGCCCTGCACTGCTGCTGTGCCGTCCTTTGGGTCCACTAGGAGCCACTGCACTGGGGGTGCGCACACTCGCCTGCTTCTTCTTACCACTCGCGCCTGTGATGCTGCCCGTGCTAGTACCCTTGTGTGTCTTCTTGCTCCCACCCTTGCTCTTTCCAACCCCATCCCCATCCGCAACACTAGCACCAGTGCCAGCACCAGCGCCAGGCAGAGCAGCAGCAACCCATCCTGACCCCGCAACACCCCTGCAAAACACCGGAGGCTCGGGCAGGGAGAAATCTGCCGACTGAAGCTTCGGGCAGAAGGAGGAAAGCTCGTGGAGGGTGGGGACAGGGAGCAGGACGGGGCAGGAGCGGGCGGTGAGACGGCGCAGAGACAGTGGTGGAGGCACCGCTGCTGCCCACGTGCGGAGATGCGAGGGCTGCAGCAGCGAGCAGTGTGAGATGTCCAGATGGGCGTGCAGAGGGGCCAGCGGGAGGGGGAGGAGATGCTGAGAGGCAGGTGTGGGCGCGGTGTTAGGGGCGAGGTGATGGTCGGAGTGTTGAGTGGAAGGAGTGGAGGAGGAAGTGGGAGATAGAGGAGGGCAGGCGAGTGTGCATGGTGCGATGGGGGCTGGCCTTGCATGGTGGGTGAGTGAGAGGGACGATGAGAGGAAGGCGTCCGGGGGGAGAGAGCAGCAGCCAGAGAAGGAGTAGACCTGCATGGGGGGCAGTGGTGCATGGACGGCATGAGAGGCGTGCAGCACGGGTGAACAGGAGCGCGAGGGAGACACCGTGAATGGAAGCAAAGGAGCGTGTCAGCCAAGGAACGATTTGGTGAAAGGCAAAAGCACAATGGTATTTAATGGCGAGCGCACATGCCTGGGTCCATGGCGAGATGCGCACTCGCCCTTCCTCACTACCCCCTCCCTGTTCCCTGCCACTGCCACTGCTACTGCCGCTGATGCTGCTGGCGCCACTGCTGTCATCCCTGGTGCTGGCCGGGTGCTCGTTGCTGGGCTGTGTGTGGTGTGTGGCAGCAGCAGCAAGAGACTGGAAGAGCTGGCCCAGGGGGGCTGTGGGGCACGCAGGAGGACGCACGGGGCAGGACGCACGGGGCAAAAAGGGGATTTGGTGTGGCACATGCCAGGTGGTGGCGTGCGCGTCACGAAGTGCTGTGAGCGCGCTGCACGTGCCACCGACGCACATGGTGTGGACGAGGGGAAGGTGAAAGTGCAAGTGAGGGGTTGGTTGGAACTTGGAGGAACTGAGAGAGGAAGCGGGAGGAGTTTAGAGCGGCAAGGGAGAGGGAGGTGAGGATGGAGGGGGGCAGAGGGAAGAACAAAAGAGACGAGATGGAACAGAGACGGAGATAGATTGAATGTGGCAAGAGAGAGTTCAATCACAAGGTGAGGCGAGGATTGGAAGCAGACGGCTTACATTGGAGGAAGGCGAGAGGAAGCAGGGACCGGTTAACCTGCACACAAGCCGTGAGAGGGGAGTGGGAGGGGGATGGGAACTGAGGAAAGCTGCGATGGTGAAGAAAAGAGGGGTAGAAGTGATGACTCAGTTGAGATGAGTGAGCCTGATGACATGTGTCAGTGCAAGGCGGTGCGCACGCATTGAATTAGTGCGCTAGAGTGAGTGTGTTTATGTGTGTATGCATCCATGCGCGTGTGAGGTGAAAGGCGAGGCCAGTAGCAGCGGCAGCAGCACGTACATGGGCCATGAGGTTGCATGCCACGCTCCTCACACGCTCTGACAGCAACGGCGGCCACGACTGCCCCTCCCGCACACTACCCTCGATCTGCGCGCCTTGCATGTACACATAACCATTGTCACTCATCCCGCTGCCCTCCTTCTCCTCGCCCCATTCCGCGTCTTCCTCTTCCCCCTCCACTGCTCCCCAATGGAAGAATCCCTCGTGAGCTGCGCCCTCACCACTGCTCCCCTCACTCGCCTCCCCCGACTGCCCCAGCGCCCACCACAGCAGCACTTCGCACAGCCACTGCTCGCTGCAGCGCACAGCAACACACAGAACACAGAGGTGAACACGAGGCATGGGGAAGAGAGGTGGGAGAGTAGCAGATAGAATGTCCCGATGGGTGGGCAAACAGGAGCAAGGCATGACTTGAAATGGAAGGACAGAGGGTGCTGGAAGGGGTGTGGGCGGAGGGGCAGCAGCAGCCTGCCTTGGCACGTTGAGCAGCGCGTGGTGGGTGGCCAGCACTGCACGCAGCAGCGACGCCGGCAGCAGCGACAGACAGTGACGCTGCTCACAGGCCAGGTATGGCTGATGGGCACCGGGGAGGGGGGCGAGAGGCAGAGGGGCAGAGGGAACGGCTGGAGAAGAGGAGGGCAATGGGAAGGAGCGATTCATGTAAGGAGATGGAGAGCAAGGAAGACGAGGTGAGTGCACACTTGGCAGGGGGAAGGTGGCATAGGTGGTTGGTGTGGCATGTGGTGTGGGAGCGGTGCGGTGCACTCACCATCTCCACGGCTGTGACGACGACACACAGGCGCTGCACACAGCACGCACCTGATGGCCCCACCACACCCACCCACCCACCCACCCACTCGCATGAGCGCACCCGCCCACCCATATGTGTGTCGCCATGCGCGATGCACAACCACCGCATGCGCCAAAATGTGCACGCACAAAAGGAGGGAAACAAAGAGGCGGAGAGATTATGAGTGCGGATAACATGAGGGGCAGGTGCAGGAATGGACGCCATGCGGGAGCGAGTGAGGGCAGAGCAGGAGCAGAGGAGTTCAGGGGGCGTGGATGTTACAGGAAAGGAGAGGGCGAGCAAGGGGCGGGTCACCTCACCTGCATCGCGTGCAGCGGTCCATGTATCAGCGAGCCAGTGCACGTCCGATACCGGCGCAGGGAAGCACACCCATGGACACCCACGCTCGCCTGCACGCCTGCCACTTCTCCCTCCTCCTCTCCCTCCCTCACCGCTCCCTTTTCTCATAGCTATCCCCCCCGCGCCCACGCTCGATCGTCCTGCCAGGCCCTCCCGCCCTGGGCTGCAGTAGCTGTGCGCCCAGCAGCTGGCAGCACGCACTGCTGATGGCACTCCAAAGTACACCGCACTCTTCATGAGGGGAGGGGGTGAGAGGGGAGCGCAGTGGAGGCATAGATGACGAGAGAGGCAGAGGCGGGGGACATGGAGGAAGGAGGGCATGAAGGGTGAATAGACGGGTCAAGGACAGTAGCATGTGTGAGCATGGATATGAGCAAGCACGGCTTCTATGCCCACCACCATGCTTCCACACCATGCCGTGCCCACAGCACCACATCACGCACAGCACCACAACCCCCACGGCCATATGAGAGCGAGCGTGCAGCAGTACGTGTGCTTACCGCGAGCAGGCCAGGGATGTGCGGCGCGGAGAGGGCGGGGCGGGGCAGGGCGGGCAGGAGGTGCGGGAGGAGGTGTGCGAAGAGCATGGGGTCCCAGTGGATGTGCTGCATTGGCAGGGACGCCTCTCGGAACGATGACAGCAGCGCTGCGAAGTACGTGCTTGACTGCACCATACTGGGGGGAGGGCGGAGGGGGGGAGAGTAGGGAGAAGAATGGGGAGAGGAGGTTAGTAGGTGTGTGGGGTTGTTGGAGAAATGTGTGTGAGACGAGGCAAGGGAAGGTCACAGTGTTCCGAATGGGGACGGGTGGCATGAGGAAACGGATGGGGACGATGGGGCACGCGGGCACACAGAGCGCAGTGGGGTGAGCGCCGTGGGCGTGCGGTGGAGGAGGCCAGCCACACTCTCTCGCGCGCCCGTCACAGCCTCCCACCATTCTGTGGCACCCGCACTCTCACTGCGCATGGGAGCAGTGCATGCGTGTGTGTGTGTGTGTGTGTGTGTGTGTGTGCATGATCCGTGCCCGCCATTCCCACCGCCATACATGGATCGCTCGATGCTAAGCAAGAGCCGCGCTTCCCCCTCCATCTCCGCTCTCCTCGCCTCGCCTGCCTCCTCTCGCCTTTCTCCCCCCTCGCTCCTCTCGCTCCTTTCGCCCCCGTCGCCCCCAGCTCCCCCATCTGTGACGTCGTCCCCCGCTAACGTTCGCCGCGCGGCGTTCTGTCGGCCATCTCCCGATTCCTGCGCGTCGCCTCCTTCCGCGCTTCTCTCGTCGCCCATCTCTCGCCCCGCACCCCTCTGCGCCGCGCCTTGCCCCCGGCGCTCCGCCGACACCACCACCACCACCATGCGCGGAGCGCCATCGGGGCGATCAGCGGCGGGCTCGCGCGCACGCGGCATGGTGGGTGCGCGCGAGCGGCGGGTGGGCGCGGTCAGAAAAACGGGTGCGGCGCACTGCGGACGGCGGGCTATCAGTGTGTGCGCGCGATTAACGTAACCGCGCTACTGCGACCGAGATCGCAGAGGGCGCACAGCCGGGCGGCCGGCGAGACGACGAGCGTGGTGCAGATGATCGGTGGCGCTGCGCTTCCTTACGATACGACGTGCGACGTGAGTGGCGGTGCACATTGTGGTGGTCGAGGATTCCACGGGCTTTAAACGCTTGCCTGTTTAACCGACATGAAGATTACGTACAACATAATCCCACTCAACCTTTTTCTCTTAACAAAAAGGGAACACTTGCAACTGCAGTCATCTATCCAGGCGTCTTTCTGACAACCAAACGTCGTTCAGGCCCCAGCAAGCAGGCCTGGGGTGATCATGCAGGCCCTGAGGGAAATCGAAACAAGATGCATGCACTTCCAGTCCCAGTGCAAGCCATGGGCACTGGGCACGAGCAGCGTACGGTACGGTGTGTAAGAGGAGAGAGGAAGCACACAGCAGCCTCACATGTACGCTCACAGACAACCAAGCAGCGCCGGGCGATTATGCACATCCATGACCCCTACCCTACATCTGCGTCCCTCCCTCACAACACCCACGACTTGTAAGTTGTAAGGCCACCGTATCACAGGCACGGAACGGAACTCATAGCCCACAGGCACATACCCCTGCACATGCATGCACGCTTGTCACAGCACCGTGCACCGTGTTTGAACAGGGCTTAGATCCACCAAGGCAGCTTGGCACTGCCACTGAGCATTGCATTGGCGCCTGCATTATCTTCACCGCCGCCACCCGCCTCCAAACAAGTGCCTCAGCCGCCCTCCTCCCTCTTCGCTCGCAGTGCTTCCCCCCTGCACACCCTCATGCCCCGCCACCCACGCCTCATGCACCCAGTGCGGGGATGACCCAGGCACACCATCGCCACCAGCACTGCGCGACGCCTCGCCCCTGCCGTGGCCCCCAAACGCCCCTCCATTCACCGCCTCCGCCTCATGGCTCGTCTGTGCCACCGGCACTGCCCTCTTACTCCTTTCAGACACAAAAAAAGAGCTCCTAGATCGCAAGCTTCGGCTCTTGTCCCTTAAACGCTTCTCCATCTCCCTTTCCTCCCTCCCCTTTCCAAACAATAATCCCCATCCAGTGCTGGCGCGGTCGCGCTCTCGCTTCTTGTCCTTATCCTTGCCTATCCATGTGCGATCCATGACAGACGACAGCCGTGAGGTTGGTGACGGAGTGTAGATGGGTGAGGGGGGGTACGGCACCATGAGGGACACGTCTGGGATGCGCGGAAGCTCTTTGCCCTTGGAGGGCTTTTGGCCGCGTTCTCCCTGCAGCTCCCGCAACAGCTGCTGCTTCTGCTGCTCAAACTGCTCCCTCCGTGACGTTACTCGTGGCGGCCCCGCCTCCTCCTCCCTGTTATTGCTGCTGCTGCTCGCACTGCCGCCTGTCTGCTTCTGTGGTGACAGCGGCGGCAGAGGCTGCTGCTTCTGTGGTGACAGCGGTGCCTGCTGTTGCGGCTGTTGCTGCTGCTGCTGCTGCTGCTGCTGCTGCTGCTGCTTCTGCTGCTGCTCCTGCCTGCGCCGTTCGTTGTACTCTTCTCGAAACTGCTCCAGCTGCGCCTGCAGCTGCTCCAGCTGCTCTTCACGTGCTGCTGACGACTGCTGTGCCTGGGCCGTGGGGCTATGAGGCGCCTGCGCCTCTGCCTGGGCGTGCGGCTGCTGGTGGGGCGGGGAAAGCTGCTCGTGCGCGGATACGTGCGCGTGGGCGTGATTGACGGGCGGTCGCGGGCTGGAGAGAAGAGAGGGAGAGGCGCACTCACTGCAGCATGCGCTGCAGGCACCCGAGTCTGCACCCTGTGGAGCGCCACTGGTGGGGCTGGTGCTGCCCCCCCCGCTGAGCTTGCTCTTCTTCTTGCGCAATGCCATTGCTATCGCCTCCGCTGCTTTTGCCGCTGGAGAGCCCGGTGCCACCTCGCCCGCGCCCTGCACCAGGGTAGTTGCATGCCACAGAGGTGCACAACCACACAGCAAAGGCACGGTCGCACAGGGGAAGCAGAGTCGCACAGGGGAGACACAAGGATAAACAAGAGCATCACGGGGCCTGGCGAATGCATAACTGGAGGAACGCATCACACGCGGAGCAACTCACGACAAAAGAAATACATCGTTAACCTAATGCGAACGTTGCTGAATCACACGCACATGGCACTGCAGGCCCTGGCACACAGCAAGAGTAAGGCAGTCAACGTGAGGCGCACCTGCTTGCTGCGCGGACTAGCTTCCCCGCTGCGCCCTTCACCCAGCTCTTGTTGCTGTTGCGCCGCACGGTGGCGGTGGTGCCGGTGATGCTCATGCGGGTGCGAGCACTTTCTGTGCTGTTTAGTACACCGCGAATTCAGCTCCTCCTGCCCCTGCAAGGACCCGGCCCGCACTGCGTCCACCTGCCCTAATTTCGCCTGGGCGTGCTGCTGCACCTTTGCCAGCGCTTCTTCCAGGCTCTCCCCAAGCGCGGCCCCCCCCACGGCCCCCTCGCCTCCCTGCCGCTTCCCCGGAATCAGCTCCGCGCTGTGCGACACAGCCGTGCCGCCAGCCGCGTCGCTAGCGGGCGACACGCGGGCAGCGTCCGCAGGCAGCAGCGATCCCCGGTTTCCGCGAAGCCAATGCGAGAGGGTGCCGCTAGCGCTGCCGCCGCTGCCGCTGCCGTGCACGAAGCTGAAGCTGCGCGAGCTCAGGCCGCCAGACCTGGATCGGCTGCCATGACTGCCCGACCGCTTCAGCTTCGCGCCGTCCGCCACGGGCGATAGGCACGCGGACCGCGAGGAGGAGTGACAGGAGGCGAGCAACGACGACGCGGAGGCGGCGAGCGTACCGTCGGAGTCGGGGGCGGGGGCGGGGGCGCTGGCGGCGGCGAGGGCGCGCACGCGGCTGACGAGGTCGTCCAAGTCCGCTTGCTGCTCGCGCGGGCGCGATCGCGAGTGCGAGAAGGAGAGCGAGAAGCTCAGCGCACGGGAAGAGCCCCCGCGCGAAACAGCGCCGTGAGGCGCAGCAGCAGCGGGTTCAGCGGCGGGGTGTTTCATGTAGTACTCTCCGGGCATGGACTTTGGCACCAGGTCCTCGTGCTCGTCGTCCGAATCCGCGCCCACATCTGGGTCATACGGCACTGATTGCGCTGTACTCCCCGCTGCCGCCTCGCCACCGCGCGTATCGTCGCCGTGGCCGCCGCCGTCGGCGGATTCCCCGAGGTGGAGAGTACCGGGTAGGGAGCAGATGTCATCGTCCGCCATGTTGTTCACGAACTGCAGCTCTGCTTCTAGCATATTCTTCGCGCGCTCCTTCTTCGCCTCCACCTCCTCCCGCAGCGCCTCTATCGCCGCTAGATCCTCCGCCGATTGGTACGAATCGCGCACAAGGAACGCCTTCGGCGCCATGGGGTACAATCGCAGGTCCTGCGAGCATCTTAGACCGCGCTCCGCGGCGCACATATCTCTCATCTGCGACTCGAGCTTCCCCCGTTTGAAGACGTCGGCGCGGGTAAGGAAGGAGGAGGTGGTGCGGCGGAGAGGGAATCGCGGACGGGTGAGGAGAGTTTGATAGAGGTCGCTCATGGAACGAAGCAACTCGAAGCCGCGAGCGCGCATGAGCGTGGGCGACTCGTACGCGATGAGCACGGCGCCGTACGAGTTGGACGGCGTGAGCAGCGGAGACTGACGGGTGGACGGTTGAATGGCGCCGCTACCGCCGTCCAACGAGAGGGGGTCGGGGAACTTGCAGAACAACGCCATCACCCCGCCATGGCCCTGCGGGTATTGCGGAAATGCGTTGAGAATTTCGAGAGCAGGAGGGAACGCAGAGAGCGACGGCGACGAAAGCGGGACGGAAAAGAAAGGGGAGCGAGGCAAATGTGCTCCTAGGCGAGACAATTCGCGGTGACCTGAGATTAAACCTGACATAGCTGAGGCAAAGAATTCAAGACTTGTGGTGATTCCTATCTCACACACACGTGCAGAGCTGTAGGAGGACAGGAAAAGGCAAGAAACATTTGAAATACTCACCAGGGAGAATCGATGGACATGAGACGGAACTTCTTTCATTGCTTCCAGCGCGGCTTGCTCATATTGCTTCTGCTGGGAGTACGAGGCGATAAGCTGGCAACCCTTGACCAGACCAGCGAAGAGCACGAGGGGCTGCTCCTTCGGCTCGTTCTGCTCTTTCCCCATTAGGTTAACGAATCTAGCCTCGGTTTAAGTCAGCTGGAATTCTGCGTGGATGCACAACTGCTAGCCTTACACTGCGACGAGCTGCAAAAAAGAAAGACATTCAAATCGCAGGCAATGTCCTAGAGGGAAAGGATGCTTCGAGCCTGCTACGGACAAGGGACTTTGATGTGTAAGGCGAGCCGAGCAGAGAATGCGTGACAGCCAAAGGTCAACCCTGGAAGCTTCATAATCGCGATGACGCACGGACGACACCCACTCCTCGTGAAGAGCAATTGTTATTTCCGCCGCTATGGCTGTGGCGTGGAGCTCTGGGGGAGGTCCAGCACCCTGGCACCAGCAACACAGCTCTGAGGCAGATCTGCGCCTGCCTTGTCTTGGACTTGGCGGCATGTGTTGCCGTGCCAAGAGAGCCAACCGCAACCTTCACACGGGCAACTGGGCAAGGAAAACTGTTCCCCAAGCTCAAACCCGCCAAACCTTCCCCAATGCCCAAAGCAGCGGCGGAGCGGAGCGGCAACCACACTGGAGGTGAGATAGTAACACGTGGCATGAAAGCCAGAATCTCCCCCAAGTGAACTCCCCCGCAAACAAGTCATGTCACACCTCAACCCTTCAATTTTTATGTGAACCAATATCGATTGTCCTCTGCCCGAAAAACGCATGAATTCACACAATCCACCAGAACAAAAAGAGCAATATTGCCACTGCCATATGTTGGAAGCCGGAACAAAATGTGCACACTGTAGCCTCACAAAGTGCACATCTGGTCAGGGAGGTGATGGTCAATAGCATTCGTTCAAACAGACCTGCCTTGTGTGCAAGGGTGATTTGACCGCGATTGGCTGAAGCAGCTTGAAAGTTGTGCACCAATCACCTGAAGTCTGGAAAAGAATGTGGCAGACCAGAATGGATGAGGGAGGTGACCAGAATACCCTCAACCAATCTGGGGTACTCACTCTCTGTACATAGTACGTACTGGATGTCCTGCCTTAGTTTTACAATCCTAGAGTTTGTAATGATCACAAAGCCTTGTCTTTCAAATTGGGCGTGGATACTGTAAAACTAATGCACCTGTTGCTCAAGATAGAAAGTTCCCTGGCAGGTAGACTTGAAATAATTTCAGAAAAGTAATCGATTATCATTAAGTCTCTAATGTGTACCACTGAACTACAGTAACTGGATCCATGGCATCATAACGGAGACCATGTGAGAAATGCCATCACTAACCATCTGGCCCTGATGACACTCTGTTGGAGACCATGTGAGAAATGCCATCACTAATCATCTGGCCCTGATGACACTCTGTTGTACCAACCTTGGAACAAATCTGCTGTCTGGTGAATCAATCAATCTTCGGCCCACCAGAGTACAAGAGGGTGTCACGGGTGAGGGGCATGTTGAAGAGGTAGCCAGTCTGGTGGAACATGTTAGGGGCACCCATCATAGTATGGGCAAGAGCAACACATGGAATATCACCATTGTTAGCTGACTAAGCACAACAGCTCCCCGGAAAACATGTAGACGGGGAACATGCAGTTTTGAAAGACTAAGAACCTGTGGTTCCAGAAGACTGAAAAAATGTGGCTCCAGGACACTGAAAACATGTGGCTTCAGGAGGCTGAAAACATGTGGCTCCAGGAGACTGAGAACATGTGGCTCCAGAATACAAAGAACAGGTTGTTCCAAAAGTACACTAAAAAGTGCACAAACAATGAAGGGAGGGAGGAAACTGCCACTCACAGCGAGGACCAGCGAAACAATCAGCAGAATGACAGTTGCAACGAGGATGGCAGTTGAAAGGACTTCAGCAGGGGTCTCCAACCCCTGTGCCTGTGCGACCTGGGAGGCAGCCACCACACCACGGAGCTGACGAGCTCCTGGACGCTGATCTCCCGACAACACAAACTGCTGCAGCAACAGATGTGGCGCTGCCTGCGCTGAAGAGGCTCCCGCCAGCACCACTTCTGCGACTACTGATCCTGGAAGATGATAGGTGGAAAATGCATTGGGTAGGGGTGAAATCGGAGTGAGAGGAAATTTGGTGTTCGTGCATATAAAATCACTGACACCAAACTGCATGAATAAGCACCAAAAGAAATGTGAAAGCCTAAAAAGCGTCATGGAATTACAACATACCCTTGTCTGATAATCGGAGAGAAGACATGTGGGCAGAAATAGTAGCAAGGACGAAAGCCAAGCGTGCTGATGCAAACTGAGGGTCCTGTTTCTCCTGCATTAAAAAATGGGAGTGTAATAAAAAGACAGTTTAGCAAGTCTTCTGTGGTTAAAAAGTGCAGCATTGGTCCATGACAATTAGTACAACCAACGAATAAGTACAGCAAGCAGATTCAACTAGATTTTAATGTGTTCCACTGCAAATCAGTTTTACCTGAAACCCAGCGAGAGATGCAACGAGCAGATGCGGATGAGCAGCTAATTCTGCTGAATCGTAGCTGGCAGAGCGCATGGCCCTTACAACACATGCCAGATTCGCCAAAAAGTTGGAATCAGAATCCTGCATGAGATCGAGTCCGTCGAAATAAGAAAAGGACTGGGACAGGCCAAAGTGGAGCACATGGATAGATCCGAGTACAAAACTCCATAACCGTATTAATGGGTTGATACTGATGCGCCAGAGGTACTGACCTTATTGGCATCAAACGCAGTGTTCAGAACACGGCGCAGCTGCTGCGACGCCTCATCCCCCACTGATGCCGGAGACATCTGGCGGGAACAAGTGCGAGATGGGCAAGCAGAGCAGGGTGGTGGCTGGCGTTAGCTTTGGGAAAATAACAGAGTGAAGCTGGCAAAGGGTACGGTCAAAATTAAGAATGTACCAGGAGCTCAAGGCAAACGTCGTCACACGGCGAGGCAGCAACAGCGCTCTCAACCGCGACGTCCAGATCAGCGTTTCTCCAACCGCAGGTAGCAACATCCACCTTCAATCCTTCCAACCTGGCAGATCTGTAAAGAGCGATCATCTCTGCTTCGAGCTCATCAGCCACATATTCAGCAACGACCCCCGAGGTGGGTGCAAGCACGCGGGACTGTACCACTTGCACTGAGCCAGTTGTGACATTGCTGTACACGGCTGCGCGGAGACATCAAATGGTCAGAGCAATAAAGTTAAAGATCGAGAAGTCCGAAGATGCCGCACTAGACAAAGTACTGAATTAATCAGAGTCAAATTATGAGACGAAAACAGAAACTACATGTGAGCCAGCACTTACAAAAATCAACTCCCGGAAGATTGAGAAGGAAAACTGATCGGGGACGATTGAAAGGATCCGGAATCAGCAACGAGTTCAACTAACGCACGGGGCGCAAGATAAAAACCAGACACAAAAAGAACAGCATGGCCAGACGTCAGATGAATGCATGTCACGACCGAGGAACGAAATATGCATCGGGAAGCAGCACTGGATATACCTGAGCAGAAATGCCAGCATCACTGTTGGGAGGAACAGACACACCAAGCAAAGCAGCGGTGGCTGCAGCTGTTGCAGTCGTTGAAAGAGCCGCTAACTGAGGGACATCGGAAAAACAACGTTCGGCATCATAAATATATTTTTTGAGATAAAAAGGGATGATCACGAACAAGGGAGTGTTGGTATGAAGAAGTGATATAAGACGAAACGTTTAGTTACGAGTGCGAAGAGTACATTTCGCAAGTAGCAGAAGGCATAGGCCCATGTGCAAGAAGAATGGAAGTGAACAACAGCTAGCGGTAATGGTGATGAAGTAAATGAAAACACGCATTCTACCTCTGCAGATCCAGAAGCGCGGTTGAAGTAAGAGCCTTGAGTTTGATCCAGGAACAGGACTGCTGGAGATGCAGCCACCTGCGTCACGCAGAACGAAAGTTCAGAACGCAGATCTAAAATACCACTAATGATGTTCGTGATTGAAGTTTGAGAACAAAAGCTTTCCCTGGGGACGAGATCCGATATGTAGAAAACTAGGCCTCGTAACTTAGTAAGTGATCGTTCGCATGAAGGAAAGCTAACTCCAGAATGGTGAAGAGAACATTATTGCAGTTTATCACAAGCCAGGGTCATAAAAAAAAATACCTGCGCGACTGCTGAGACGGTCACACAAACAAACGCGAGCAGCCACCCCCTCATGGCTGCGATGTGAGACTAACAACCGGGATGCGACAATGACCTTTCGAAACGATTGCTGCAGCCGTAATCAGCAACTAAACAGGATGACAAGTGCTATCGGCTGTCTCTAGGAATGTCAAACCAGGAAATGCGGAACAGACGAGGATTGTAGGCGGGACGCTAGGTAAGGAGCAGAGCAGGGTGGAGCAGAGCAGACGAGGTGGGCAAGCGGATGGTGGCGATAGGCGGAAGGGGAAGCATGGCTGGGCGGCGGAGGCACTTGGCGGGACATGTCAAGCTTTGCCCTTTCTGGGAGCGGCGCTGACCAGCGGGGCCAGCGGCGCGCACCTCACTTTCCCGTGACTTTTTGGTGGAGTTCTCGGTGGCAAGTTTTGCTGGAGTTGTTTCTGTACCGTTACAGAATTTTGCAGTTCTTCAATCAGTGCAGTTTTATTCAAAATGTGAGTGATCACAAGCTAACATTCATATAATTCTTTTGAGTTCAGGCATGAGCAAACATATTGCAGCAAGCCAATAGGGTCAATGGAGCACATACATGCTAGTGGTGTTGGCCCACCCTGGATTGGATAGTAGCAGAGCCTAGGACCCCAGAATCTCAATGGAGAAAGTGCATCTCAATCAACTTACCTACAAAGCATTATACACCAGAACAAGGAGTATGAATAACTTCCAAGCTAACAATTACCGGTCGGTATTTGCGAGCATTGTATCAACTTTGTTTGATTTTGCAGGATTTGCTCAATAGCTAGCCTGGCCATTCCAAAAGAAAAATAGTTACACTAACACTGTAACACGTTTCTAGTGGCTTATTTTGGTGGATGCAACGCCTTCAACCCCTTGAAGACGTCTGGTGTGAGCCACTTCCATTTGCTCTCCGCCATCTTGCCTTCACAAAAATGTGCACATGGAGATTGATTGGCATCCTCTTCAGGCGAACTGCAGTACGCTGGCCAGAGAGGAGGGGTCGGCCTCTTGTCCTTGGCAGTACGTCGCGGCTCAATATCCTGCTGCGCCGGTGGATCCTTGCATTCAAATAGCTGATCAGGTGCCTTGACCTTGCTGGGATCCTCCATGGCACTTGCCGAGTATTTGACAAGGAGAATGGCCCAATAAAGTCGCCTTCCCTCCCAGCTGCACGCAATGCTGAAGCAAGGGAATGTGTGTGGAGGCAAAGGACCAGAAATGCTTTCAACAGTGCAACGAATGGAACGTCAATGCGAGATCAAGGTATGGGAAGTGCAAAAGCGGACAGAACTAAAGGTGAAAGATACATAGCGCCTATGATGGATTATACGCGTTTAGCGTATATACGCGTGTCGTATATACGCTTGTGTTTGCACGCTATACGCTGGAGGGGTCTGATCAAGGATGCGCTTTCCCGGGCAGGAAAAAAAGTTCCCCGGGCAGGGCAAAACAAAATGCGGTGAGCATTTTCGGCTACTCGGGGGAGTTTTTCATTCTCATCGACGATGCGGGAATCTTATCCCGTAACCCTAACTTAGAAATTGTGGGAAATGGTTGGGTTCAGATCTGAAAACACATTTGTACCCAACCACCACAATTTCCACCGTTCGCGAAATCGGCGAGTGGGTGAAATTTGTCGTGCCTAGCTGGCGAATCACCTGCGGAGGGTCAAAATGTTGGCGGATTGTTTTCGCAAAACAGCTAGACGCAACTCACAACTACTCCTCTCAATCCAACCCCCCCACATCTCGACAGACTCACCTAGTTTAGTAGACTAGGCAAACGCAGGCAAACGCGACACCAACACATAAAGCCACTTTACCGCCAGCACAGACCGCGGACGTGCAATCTGACTTCGCAGATTTGCTCGTCATGCCCTTCCGCGTCGTTTGAGCTATCCGAATTTTTTTTTGTCGGCGGGCTGCCCTAAAAAATATTTGGGCTGCGTATAGCGTTTTCGTTAGCGTTTTGCGTTTTGCGTGTACACGCTAGCGTACAAACGCTAAACGCAAAGGGTCCAAAGCGTATAATCCAACGTAGCATAGCGCAGCTGGTCGGGGAAAGAAGTGCTGCAGCTGGCCCACCTTGCAACCTTGTTGGCCTCCTTGTTGATCTTCCGTGCTTGCTGATCATTAGCCCGAGCCCACTCAATGCGAGTGAAGAGGTCCCCAAAGTAGCGGGCCGTGGGCAGGAAGTGACGGAAGGGACAGAGCAGAGGACCAAAGAACTGGTACAGCTCTGACGTTTGCTTGATCATCAGCTGCACACAGCCCCATCACATGGGAGATTAAGAAAGGGATATATCACATAAGTGGTTGTGGGCTGTTGTGGGGTGGGAAGGAGATGGCGTACGATGTGGAGGAAAAAGGTGCAGGAAAAGCACGGTTGGGGAAGAAAGAGGAAGATGAGAAGAGAGTGCAACTGGGAGAGCACGTACTTGGTCACTGGCCATGACTCCACATGTACGGCACGTTCCTGAACCTCCATCCACTACAAGCTCGTACTTGTACGACTGCAGCTGCGACCGATTGAACGCCCTGCCCTTCACGATCTTGTCCTTCCACAAACTGCACAACAAGCAACCATGGAACGGCAGAGCAGGTGTGCACGAGACAATGCGGGAAAGTCACCAACTGAGCTATTCTTGCATTGAACCATAAGCAAATTTGCTTCGGCAAATAGCAACCGAACTTGTTGTAAAACCAAGTTCATGCAAACTATTGCTGACAAACGATTGCTCAGTGCTCACACCTCCGCACTGTGCCTCTCTACCCTTCTGTTGCGAAGCCCAATGCAGCAGACTCACAGGTCTTTGTATTTTGCGGCGTGGAGTCGCATAATGCGGGCGTCCAGGAGGTCAGGCCGCACATCCGACATGCTGCAACGCACAGGACACGGACGGATACACCACGGGTGCAGGACGGGGGTCGATAGGCGGGGGTATACGGCATGAGTGTGTAAGGAAGATGGAGCCAGGGAGGACGCCATGGAGATGCAAACAATGGAGGAGAGATGTTTAGGGCAAGAGCAGGCACGAATGAGTAGCGGGAGAAGCGGACACCTGAAAAGGGTTGGAGTGTGGACGTGAACACTTACCGGTGCAGTCTAAACCTAGGACTGCCTCTCCACTGATAGGGCCGGTTGATCTTGAAGTTTGTGGCAGCACCTCTAAACACTGCCTTGCTCCTCTTCCGCTCCCACGGCATCTGATGGGCCAAGACAGACACATGAAAAGAGGGGGGTGGAAAAGAGGGAGGGGGGAAGGAGTTGAGAGGGGAGGGGGGAGGGGGGAAGGAATTGAGGGGGGAAGGGGGAGGGGGAAAGGAGGGGAGGGGAGGAGGGGGGGGGGGGGCTGGGGGTTGGCTTAGCTGAGTAGGAGCAGGGTTGAAGAGGCAAGAAGACTATGGGGGAGAATTGGCAGTACGAATGAACGGGGGTACAACAGCGTTCGAAGGTGGGTTAGACCTACAGCTCTTTGCTGCGCACGGTGCTCACCGTGCCGCTGTTTTCGCTGTAATAGTGCATGGAGAGGTCCACCGGGTCGGGGTAGAGAATATCCACAAACCCTAGCGACCCCTGCGGGCTGAAGATGGGCATCCCGGCCTTCTCACTGGCGCGTGACCCAGCAGTGCTGGCGGGCAGGTCGCACGTGTTGAGAAAGAACTCGGCGTTGAGCGAGGTGAGCCCGTACATGCGAATGGCCTCCTGGATCATCAGAATGGACACCACGAAGCGCCGCATGCGGTACCACTCGAACTCGAACCCGCCATAGCGGAAGTAGATGGCGCCCTTCACTATGCGCACGTGGCCGGAGCACGACATCACCCCGCCAACCTTCGCCATGGCGTTCAGCAGACCCGGCGCGATCATGCCTCGGGCTCCCAGCCCCTCCGTGATTCCCGGAATGCCCATCCACGGCTGCAGGAAGCGGTGCGCCAGGCATGCGAAGAGGCGCACGTCGTGCTGCTTGACGTCGAATGCGGGGAAGCCCCGGAGGTCCTCCACGCACTCGTCCTCCGACTGCACCTGCGGCACCAGTGACGCCGCACTCGCGTGAGGCGCGCACCTGCTCCGCGCGCGGACCAGATGGAAGGACGTTGGGGGTTAGGAGGGAGCACAAGGGAGGGATGGAATGACGAGGTGGAGGCACGACGGTGCGGTTCGTGTCGGTGGGTACTGGCATGCAGTGGATTAGTGTGCGTGAGAGGGAGGGGAGATCAGTGGAGGAAATCAAGGGAAATTTGCGGCACTCTAGCACACTCGCACCCCCCCCTACACACAGCATGTACGGACCTGGTGTCGAAGTTATCGTCGGCCCAGGAGTTATCCATTAGGTTCGAACTGCTTGCTGTAAATTTTGGATCGCGTGGTGATGCTGCTACGGGGTACTGATCGCGGTCGGCGTAAGCGGAATACGGACCAGCGGAGCCGTCCGCATAAGCAGACGTGGCGGAGGGGCCAACGAGCTCGTGAGATATGTACTCTCGCTCGTGGTCCAGGCGAAGGCGAGGCGATTCGTCGATCTGAAACGACGGGAATGTTGAGTGGGGAGGTAGGTGAAACTTCCGGTTTGAGAAGGACGCTAGCGCGATGCAGGAAAGCCGAACGCAAAACTCGTTAGCGGAGGTATATTGAAGAGAATAAACGTTTGTTTCGATCATCAGCGTAACGTGTTTATCAAAATGCGGTGCATGTTGCAATCTAACGGGTCGAGGGCTCAGGATCGACGCTCTGGCACTTGAACTCACGGTTAATCACTTTGCAATCTATAAAGCCGCGTCCAACCCCATTCCGAGAGCAATCCTGAGGGAGATCGAATTCGATCTTCTTCAACTCGTACCGCGTTCTTTGTCATTACTGGAATCAGCACCAATGAGCAACTACAACTCTGATTGGTCAGCTACCACTCAATGTCCTCGATTCACACGCCTTAACCTATTTTTTTCTTATCGGAAGAAAATCCATGAGCGCACTCACCACATCATTGAACGACGCGGCTTCCGCTTGAGCTCCTGCCTCCATGACGCTGCTTCGGACCACTATGACTAGGATAAGAAGGTGAAGGACTGGAGAGCGTAATCGTGGAAGCGAACTGCGGGCACGAGGGCTTGAGGGAATCCAGGGTCGACGGTGAGGCGGACTTGAAAAACATTCGCGCTTCCATAGATGGCTCAGAGCCATGCTTAGAGCTATCTGATCTATCCACCAATCACTATGCGTATTGTCGAATGCTTACCATCAGCATCGTGCTTGCCGAGCTAACATTGTGACAGCCTAACAGGGGAGGATAGGGAACTGTCGATAAACAACCGGAGGATGCGAAGGTGACGATATAAAACTTCCTAGCATGATTTGACAGAGAGAACTAGTGAAGAGGTAAATGGAAGTGTGGCCATCACCAACACCACCCTCTGGTCGGTTGGTGGCATGTGTGTGCGGCAGTGTTTCAAGGAGGTATGCAGGTCTGTGGTCGGTTGCGAAAAGAACGATGTTGCCAAGTGTCGAAATGTGTTCAATGGATGCGGTTGATTACGAGCTTGTGCAATCGGGAGCGGTAACTCTCACGTCACCACACCAGCCTGCTCCCAGCCTCGATTTTGAACCTTTCTCGACGGCCCATGTTGACCCATGTTTGCCCCGAAATTTCCAGGACGTGGCCTTGCCTAGCCAGGCAGGCCAGGAACTTGAGCTACCCTTCTGACAAATTGTAAGGGCGTGTAAAATTTTTCAAACAGCAAAACGTTCGGACGCTGTACGACGTACGTTCGGATGCTTGCGACACTGACGACGTCGTGCGGTTTCTCAGCGATGCCAGCGACGTCGTTAGGACGCATTGCGACGCTTACGACGTCGCTCAAATTTTGACGAGCTACCTGGCGAGCTTAAACGACCTTAGTAACCACATAGCTGTCCAGACAGCTGGCCGTCCGGACGAAACAAATAGAAATATCTCACGCCCTAAATCCGAATTTTGGGAGTTGGGAACGTGGGAGGCAACATTCATTCCTTCCCCTCAACCACCTGTCGCCCGATATTTCCACAGCAGATGCCATGTGTGGTGGAACGGATGACAGCTTTGCCACGCGCTTGTTTCTTGACACCATTCCAACTGGCCAGAATCAAACAGTAATGCTTAGCAAAGCTTAGCAATCAGTGACCACCACCTCGGTTGTGGTGCGGAAATATTGTCTGTTACTTCAACCGAGGACGGTCGTTTCTGGACTGGACATGTTTTGTCCACAAGTCGACGCGCGGAGAGGGGTTGTCGGGTGAACCAGAAGCCAGAGGAACTGTAAAGAGTAAAGAGTACAGTGTTTATACAGATATATTTACTGTGTATTGTTCGAAATTTACATTTTATATAACTGCTTTCTAGAGTAGCTACTGTGTAATGTTACAGCTTCTGTTTGCCTTAGCATATTTTTACTCTCGTTTCTCTTAGTGAAACCCTAAGCGGGGAGGTTTCAGCAAATAGGCAATGGCAATTGTGCATCATCGGTTTAACCCAGAGATATTTGCGTGTTCATGTCAAAGTTCGTGAGATAAGGGAACGAATAATATATCTGATCGAGCCTTAACAACAATTGTTTTTCCGGCCCGAGTAAAGGGAATAATGCATGACCGCGTCTTCTGAGCACACTTTAGAAGCATGTGGTTTCTAAATCATAGTGAAGTAAGTGCCATTTGGTCGTAGCTTCTATCAAATATAATACTTATAGACTGTAGTGAGTTGCATTCTAGAGGGTGCAGATGCTAGGGTTTCCTATTTTTATCCAACACTTTGCTAGTTCTATTCCGTTGTATTTAGATTCGGAGATGATATCCGAGTAGGTTCTGTTCCTAGCTCCCCGCCCTACCCTAGCCTAGCCTAGCGCCTTCGCGCCTTAGCACCCTCCGCGCCTTTTGCGCCTTAGCACCCTCCGCGCCCTCCGCGCCTCCGCGCCTTAGCGCCCTCCTAGCCCGACCGCGCCCTCCGCGCCTTTGCACCCTCCTAGCGCCCCTCCCCACGGTCGACCGCCCCTCCCCACTGTCGTGCCCGCCCTCCTCTCCGTTCCGCGCCCTCCGCGCCCTAGCCCGTCGCCCAGGCCCGCGCCCTAGCCCGGCGCCCAGGCCCGCGTGTCAAGATAGTGAGTGTAGTAGGAGCTAGGTTTAGGTAGGGCCTAGGCTTAGTAGCCTAGGCCAAGGGGAGTCGAGATAGTTGTGGCAAGGAGAAGTCAAGAATGGGAATGGTGTTCACTATAGCACTAGGGTACATATAGCAAACAGAGCATGGAAAGATGGTGCACCACCAACAGTTTATAATAACTACACTAAACTACAGCTACAGGCAGTTACATATATACTCTAACACTCCCCCATAACTGCCTGCAGCAGGAGTTTGTGCAGAACACAACCTGCAGGGGTACACCAGCAACAGCAATAGCAGGCACGGTAACAGAGCAGGTACAGCAGCAAAGGGACAGGCAACAGCAAGACATTCCTACCACCCCCTTACTCTCTTCCCCCCCCGACCACAGGAGGGGCAGCAGGGAGAGAGAGGAGGCGGGCTGGTTCTGGCTGGTCACCCCCTCCATCCCCTCACCCTCCCCCTCCCCCTCCCCCCCACACTGCTGCAGGAGCAGCAGAGGGGGGAAGAGAGGAGAGGTGGAGGGACGGCTGCTGGTTGGTCTCACACCCGCCACCCCAGTGCCACTCCCCCGGCTCCCCCACACCCTCACACCCTCCCCCCCAGTGGTAGCTGCAGCAGTGGGAACGAAAGGAGGAGGAGGGGAAGGGAAGCACACCACCCATCACCCCCACACCCGCCACCCCCATACCCTCCCCCCCACGGCTGGAGGGAGACGAAGGAGGAGGGGGTGGGCGGGGAGAAAGCCGCAGAGCGGCTACAGAGGGTCGGCGCGGGTAGGTCAGGGGCGGCTGCAGCGAGTGCAGGCGCGGGGTGAGGCAGAGGCGGCTGCACCGAATGCAGGAGCGGGGGCGGCTGCTCCAAGGGCAGGCGCTGGGTGGTGCAGGGGCGGTTGCAGCGAGTGCAGGCGCGGTTGAGGCAGGGGCACCGCCGCGGGCGCCAGGGGCGGGTCCGCGGCGTCTCAGGACACCGTCACGGGCGCCAGGGGCGGTTCCGCGGCGGCTCAGGACACCTTCGCGGGCGCCAGAGGCGGGTCCGCGGCGGCTCAGGTCACCGTCGCGGGCGCCAGGGGCGGGTCCGCGGCGGCTCAGGGCACCGACGCGGGCGCCAGGGGCGGTTCCGCGGCGGCTCAGGGCACCGTTGCGGGCGCCAGAGGCGGATCCGCGGCGGCTCAGGGTACCGATGCGGGCGCCAGTGGCGGATCCGCGTCGGCTCAGGGCACCGTCGCGCACCACGGGGCACGCGACGGGCAGTTCAGGGCACCGTCGCGTGCCACGGGGCGCACGACGAGCAGGTAAAACGTCACGCGCCACCCGAGCGCGGGACAGAAGGAAATTCGCCATGCGCCCGCGGCGCGCGACCGGAAAAACAGCAGCGGAAGCTTGAGGCAGGCCCACAGGCCAGGACGTATCAGGCTCTAATGCCATGTCAAGATAGTGAGTGTAGTAGGAGCTAGGTTTAGGTAGGGCCTAGGCTTAGTAGCCTAGGCCAAGGGGAGTCGAGATAGTTGTGGCAAGGAGAAGTCGAGAATGGGAATGGTGTTCACTATACCACTAGGGTACATATAGCAAACAGAGCATGCAAAGAAGGTGCACCACCAACAGTTTATAATAACTACACTAAACTACAGCTTCAGGCAGTTACATATATATTCTAACACCGCGCCCTAGCCCGTCGCCCCAGCCCGCGCCCTAGCCCGTCGCCCAGGCCCGCGCCCTAGCCCGTAGCAGCACAACGAGACTACGAGCTGCACTCCCTTGACTTCTTTACTGCGTTTCTCCAGGGCCGGCTACACGAGGAGATCTGGCTGCGCCGCCCTCCTGGCTTCATTGACACCTTCCCACCTAGTACCCAGTGGAGCCTAAGACGGCCAGTCTACGGTCTCCGCCAGTCGCCCCGTGAGTGGCACGACGCTCTCTGCTCCATGCTTCGTGACCTTGGGTTTTGTCCTTCCTCTGCCGACCCGTCCCTGTTTGTTCGCACTAGTTCCAGTCATTTCTTTACACTAGTGTTCGTCGACGACTTGGTCTTTGCCACAGCAGTCAGGGAAGCTGTGTCTCAGGTGAAGTCTGAATTGCAGAAGAGACACAGGTGCACTGACCTAGGTGAATTGCAGCGCTACCTTGGCCTGCAGATCACTAGGGACAGAGCCGCTCGCACCATCACGCTGACTCAGTCACACATGGTGCAGCAGGTCCTTCGGCGGTTTGACTTCCAGTTCTCCACCACACAGCCCACACCTCTTGCTGTTGACCACGGACTCACTGGCCCCTTTCCGGATGAGCCCTTTGAGTCTAGTGGTCCCTACGCAGAGCTGGTGGGCTGCCTCATGTACCTGATGACTTGTACTCGGCCGGACCTCGCCTTTCCCCTCAGCATACTTTCTCGCTTTGTTGCGACTGGGAGACACCGTCCTATTGACTAGACAGCTGCTGTGAGGGTGTCAAAGTACCTGGCGACTACATCAGGCATGGGGCTTGTGCTTGGAGGGACTCAGCCAGTGGCGCTGACTGGTCAATACGACTCTTCCTACGCTGTCGACGTGGAGACTCAGCGCTTGACTCAGGTTTACTGCTTCAGTCTGGGAGCTGGTGCTATGTCGTGGAGGTCTACACGGTCGTCTGTGGCTACTTCTAGTGCAGAGGCAGAGATCTACGCCGGTGCCATGGAAGCACAGGAGCTTCGCTGGTTGACCTTCTTACTCGTCGTCCTTGGTGAGCGGCCTCGCTCTGAGAACAAGGCCATGATCCTCCTCTGTCAAGAGCCTCGTCTGGAGAGCAGAGTAAAGCATATTGACGTGAGGTACTTCCTCTTGCGAGAGCTGCAGCGACGCGGCCAGGCACGCCTGGACTTTGTGGCCTTAGAGGCCAACACTGCAGACGTCTTCACCAAGGCC